GCTCTTCGAGGAACCCTACTGTTTGGTTCAAAAGTCGCTGCTGTGGAATTCATTATAACTTTGTTCGATTACAACAAATTCGAAAGAATAATCTTTTTATAAGACTTTTTCTACACAACAAAACAAAAATTACAACTCTTGAGAGACAAACACGAAAATCGTCTATCAATTCTCGTTTTCGTGGGACTTTGCCTGTGCCGGGAACGCTTTGGTTCGTGGACCGCCGATTCACAGATCGTGAAGAGGGGGCTTATGATTCTAACTTCGTTATCGAAGTAGAATATGAAACGATATCTTATCGAAGTAAGATAGTCGTTCTTCTTAAAATCAAGTCGAAGCTTAATTTCAAGGCGTTGCAAGAAAAGAACTCAAATCTGCTCTCTCTCTCTGCTCTGGAATGCTCTAACAAATGCTCGATCCTCGTCAGAAGTGACCCTAGGGGGGTATTTATAGCCTCAAGGGTCAGTAACTGCAAAAACTTAACAATCGAAGAAGTCAGTACGGCGAGACAGTGTTTACTGTCTCGCTGGGCGAGACAGCGTTTGCTGTCTCGACCCGCGAGACAGTAAATTTGCTGTCTCGCTCAGCGAGACAGTAAATGCTGTCTCAAAAAATGGCAGTTTCTCGCTGTAACTGTTCTCCCACGTTTCAAACTCCGTTATTTTGGCAGTTATCCACGTGATTTTCGCCCACGATGTTTCCCACGTCCCTTGGCAGTTAATGGACACGTGTAGGGCAGTTACAAATGTAGTTTTGACTATTTCAACACTGTCTCGCTGGCGAGACAGCAAAGACTGTCTCGCTGGCGAGACAGCAAAGACTGTCTCGCTGGCGAGACAGTTCATACTTGTTTTGATTTTTCCAAAACAGTATGAAATCCTTTCTTGTGAATTTTTGAGTGATCTTCTCTATGCTTGGGATATCTATTAGCATTTTTTGACGCCTACAGATACCCCCTCCAAAGTATTCCAGACTCATTCTTTTATAGAGGAGCATGGGATACTTTGGATAAGATAGATTTTACTTACGATCCCTTCAATGCTTGGCTGAATAGATCGTATGAAAGGACTTGTAAATGGCTTCAATGTTTAACCTCTTCTGCTGTTAGTCTATCCAGTTCTTCGTAGAATAGCTAACGTTCTCCCGGCGTCGCGTTTATCGCTTGACCGTTGTCGAGATCTTGAATTGAAGTTGATACTTGCTCTTGTGAATTCAGCGTTTACCATTGAATTGGTATATCCATTGAGAATTCCTCAGGTTATCCTTAAGAATATTCAGATTAATATTCTCCAGAAACTTCCTGTTGAGGGTGGGAATACAGTTTAGACTCGTGTACCCATTGGAGTATTCCACTGTTCCATAGTGCAAAACAGAAAAGTTTACTGTCTCGCTCGGCGAGACAGAGTTTTCTGTCTCGCTGGGCGAGACAGTGTTTTCTGTCTCGCTCGGCGAGACAGAGTTGTCTGTCTCGCTCAGCGAGACAGAGTTTCCTGTCTCGCCCGGCTGCTATATAAGTCGGGACTTAGGGTTTTAGGGTTTTTTACGTCGGATTTTGGCGATTTTTTGGGCGATTCTTGGGCGATTTTCGACCAGTTTTCTTCTATTTCTTCTCCTCTTTGTTGCCGACTTGGGAGGTGCTCTTGTTTGGGAAGATTTCACTCAGATTTCAAAGGTTTGTTCTTCCCCTTTTCTCCAAAATTTTGACTCTCCTTCAACTGTGACTGTGCATGCATCATTTCGGTTGTATTTGTCCTATTTTTTGTCGATTTCATGTTCAAAATCTTAACCTTCCTCTTGGATTTCAATGTAGATCACATACTCATCATGTCGCCACGTAGAGCTCGAGGGAAGGGAATCCGACCGACTGTTCAGAGCCCTGAGGAGGCTGCCCCTGCTGCACCCTCACGTGGAGGTATATTTCTTTCACCTTTTCACGAATTTAAATATTGTATTTCGTCCATTCCATATATATATGCACCTGTATTTGCTTGCAGATCCTCGTTTGTATCCTTTGAGGTACCTTCGAGAAGAGCCGGTATCCTCCTTTGAGGGGATCGACGCTTAAAAGTGTTTGTTTTGCTTTGACAAAACACACTTCATAATACACAGGGGCGATTTTACATCATCCCATATGTATTGAAAGGTTTTGGTATGCCGTTATAATGCCCGCATACCTCCTTTATACATATGGTGGATAGAAAATCGTCACACCTGTTATGAGATAACGACTATATCTTATAGAATGAGATATACCGTTTTTCTCTAAAATTTTAGGATGACACTTACACAATTTATGTGTATGCCTCTTTTATCAGTCCGATTTCCTTCTACCACATTTACTGCTGATGTGATTACTGGCCGGAGTAGCGTGACCCACTCTTATTACGAGGGGATCCCGTTAATTGAATTCTCTCCCCAGTTTAAATCTGATTATAACGGAAGTGATAGTGAATTAATCCAGCGAGGTAGTTGTCGTGTTCTACGACGATTAATCACAGATGCGCCCTTGATCTCGGAGCAAGACTCGAATCAATGCATAAGGAAGCCAGATTTCTTATTTGGTGACTCGGTAAAAGATCCGAAGATTGCTTTCTGCCAGCCTGCGCAATGGTTGCACCAGAGTGGATCATCATTCTTATATCTGCCTTTTATCCCTCGGGATCATTCACTGTTAATGTTCAGGAACCTATCAGTTGGACGAGAGATGTTCTGGAAATTAACCGAAAACCACGAGCACATTCATTGTGGTTTCATTGGAAAGGAAGCAACTCCAGGTTCCAGTGAAAGAGCTCATGTGAGAGGACTTCATCCGGGTGTCTTAGGACAAGACAATATTCCTCAGAACGAAAAGATAGTGCAAGCCAACACTGTGAAGAACCGGTTAGCGGCAGCAGGAAAAAGATTGCCCAGAGAGACTTTCAGGTGTTATGGATGGGTCCATTATTCTGGGAACAAGTGGTGGTGGACCAGGATGACCCAATATGTGTTGAAACGTTTTGGGCGAGAATTAGCAGGATTAGGGTTGGATGTCCCGATTCGTGCCACCATGCATGGCTTGCAGAGCAGTGTAAGTCATTTCCTTTGTTTGTTCGAGATCTACAACCCGGACACCAATACATTCTTTACCAAGAACGGGGAACTTGGACTACCACTGCATGAAATGATGCAAGTGTCTGCTTTGCCTATGGGCGATGTCCCATATCAAGAGTTCTTTCCGACCACCAATCAGCTGATTAAGATGAAAGATAGCTCGACTGCGACCTATGACACTCTATGGGAATTGACCTGTCATTATCATATAGCCATGGCCGAGATGGAGCCCAAAGCCAGAAAGAAGTCTCCTCAAGTCAGTTTAAAACAATTCGCTGATTATCTCTTCAAGAACCTGGATGTCCGTTCGGCAGATGTGTGCGGATTGTCTCCCTTGAGTACGGATGAAATTAACCGTTTGTTAGAGAAAACCAACGCGCATTCTTATACTTCGCGCTCAGAAGATGGATTTTTGCACGGCACTAAGTTCCGCTCTTATCTGTGGCAAGCTGGTGTTCCGATTTCCGAAGTTGGAGCTACCCTACACTTATCTGATGACCTGGTTAGTACTTCACCGGCCAGATTTAATGGAAGCTCCTGAGACAGTAAATCCCAGCATCCCTCTGTTACAGAATCTCGAATGTTGCAAATGGACCAATCATCGAGGGCCGGACATAATAAGGCAGTTTAAAATCCATAAGTGTTGGGAATTCTTCCCCTGCTTCCCTCAGTTCTCCGGTACCTACAATACTACTTTAGTAGATGCTGAAGACCCAAGGCAGAATCGCACCATCTTGGATGTCGGGTGCTTCAGATGGTTGATGAACATTCGTCCCGGATATCTGTTGTTCAGGGTAAGAGATACTTGTCACATTGAACCTTATCTCCCATGTCGATTCGCCCGTCAATTCGGCTATGATCAAATGTACATCGGCAACCCGAATCGTCACCTTAACTTTCGAGGTGGACTTATCAACGGTGCGAGGGCTTGGTTCTGGAGCATCGCCGGCTGTACAAATGTCGAGTTCGATCTTCCTTTAGAGGCGCCGCCATTACGGATGACCTTCCTCTTTTGCAAATGGTTGATAGCCGCTAATATTGTTACTCGACGTAGGAGGATATCAGATTCAGAGGAAGAGATAGCTCCTCGGCAAGCGGCAAAGTCGACTCTTGAGGTTGGGGCGTCAACTCGAGGAAAAGAAGCTGCTGAATCCTCAAAAAAGGGAAAGAAACCGGCCCGCTCAGCTGATAGTGAAGAGGAGTTTGATAGTGAAGCGACCGAAACTTCAGAAGGGGAAGGTGAGAATGAATCGAGTTCTGAGGAAGTATCTGGCCTTCCCGATTCATTCTTTGATAGAGGACTTGTAAGGCCTTCTGTCGCTCCGACCCAATCACAAGCTGCTCCAAAAAAACGTAAGGAGAGAGTCGTCATGGAGTATCCTAACCGGATGACGGTAGAGGTACTCAGCTGCGACGAAGAGGATGAAGAGGATACGGTGTCTCTTGTTCGTAGGCAAAGATCTCAATCTTCCACTCAAGCTCAAACTCAAGTTTCTCCCCGAGCTGAGTTACGCACTAAACATCGTCACGAAGGTTCTGATGCACGTCCTCTGAAGAAACAAAAGAAAGCTGCCTCTAAACCGCGCGTTCATCTTCCTGCTGTAGAAGAGACATCCGGTCGTAGTGCTTCTTCTGATGAACAAGGTAACTATTTGTTTTTTGTCCCTTTCACATTTTTTTATGCTTGAACTCATTCCATTTCCAATTTCTGTAGAGAGTCAAGAAGAGGGAGAATATCGAGCTGGAGCTGCTTCTCCTGGAGGCATGGAGACTGAGGAGACCAGCTTCGTCTAGCAAATGCAGGATGCTTTGAAAGAAGAACCAGCTGGTGTTCCACCGATTCCTGACGTTGATTCATCCACTACGGACGCAGGTACTGATCTTTCTCCTCTCGGCAGAGAAATCCGAGAAATGAATGAGTCGGATCGTGTGCCTCCTCTAATGACCTGTGCGCTTTCTCTCCTTTTAGTCAAATTAAAAGAAGCAGGTACAAGTAGTGAAGCTCTCAAATCCGCCCCGACCAACGAAGGTAAAATCGATCTTTGTCTTGGGCAATTTCGTCTAAATTTACGTGTCATTTACGATTCAACATTTTTTTTGTAGACATCCCGATGCATGAGCCTATTGAAGGAGAAGCTACCCATGCCACTAAAGTCGATGATTTTAATAATTTCGACTTTAATATCTCAGAGGACGACCATCAGCAAATCCTGGATTCTTTGTTAGATAAAGCTTCTGGTCCAGCTATCGGCTCAGATATTGGAATTGGTTCTCTCGAAGCAGGTCCCTCTGAGAGTAAGACTTTGGCCCTGTTAACTCCGTATGTATATACATATATATTTTGACTTGATTAATTATATAAGCGTTTGAATTATAGGACCAGTTACTGGAACTGATACTACTATCATCACCGAAACATCTGAACAACCGGAGGGTAGTGAACTCGTGCCATGGGCAGGAACTGAGGTTGATTTGCAATCATCAGTTCTTGAACCTCAACCTTCTACTCCTATGGACCCCATGATGATAGAAGTCACTGTCACTCCCCAGATTAGTCCAGTTGCAACAAAATACAATTTGTGAGGATTGTGCCAAAGGTAAACAAACAAAGTCTTCTTTCAAATCCATCCATGAGGTATCGACTTCTAAACCCTTGCAATTACTTCATCTTGATTTATTTGGTCCTATGCGTGTTACCTCTCTTGGAGGCAAACACTATGTTTTTGTGATTATTGATGATTTTTCTCGTTTTACATGGACAATATTTCTTGCTAAGAAAAATGATTGTTTTGAAGAATTTGCTAATCATGTTAAAAGAATTGAAAATGAAAAGGATTTGAAAGTTGTTAAAATAAGAAGTGATCATGGTGGTGAATTTCAAAATGAATTTTTCTATGATTTTTGTGCTCATCATGGTATAACTCATATGTTTTCCGCTCCTAGAACACCACAACAAAATGGTGTTGTTGAACGGAAAAATCGTACCATACAAGAGATGGCACGCACTATGTTAAACTCATTTGATTTACCAAAATATTTTTGGGCGGAAGCCGTCAATACGGCTTGCCCTGTTTTAAATCGTGTTTTGATTAGACCAAAGCTTAAGAAAACTCCTTATGAACTTTATTATGGAAAAACTCCTTTCATTGGTTATTTTCGTGTCTTTGGTTGCAAATGCTTTATTTTAAATACAAAAGATCACCATGATAAATTTGATTCCAAAATTGATGTTGGTATTTTCTTGGGTTATGCACCTCGAAGTAAGGCTTATAGGGTCTTCAATAAACGAAGCCTCGTTGTTGAAGAGTCTATAAACGTTACTTTTGATGAGACTAATGTTGGCTCTCAAGTTGTGTTGCCTAGGAAAGATGATGATGATGATATTGAGGGAGGATTGGACTTGTTGCAAATCAATGACACTCCCTCTATAGAAGTTCAAAAGGATGTGGATAGCACAAACGCTCAAGATCAAGTTGAACCACCTAAAGCTTGGAAATTCACATCAAATCATCCAAAGGAACAAATCATTGGGAGCCCTTCAAAAGGAGTTATAACTCGCTCAAAAGCCTTGAGTGAATGTGGTAATGTTGCATTTCTATCTCAACTAGAACCTAAAAAGGTTAATGATGCTTTAAATGATGAGTTTTGGGTTTTGGCTATGCATGAAGAATTAAACAATTTTCAAAGAAATGAAGTTTGGAAGTTAGTTCCTAGACCTAACAATGCTAGTGTTATTGGTACAAAATGGGTTTTTAGAAACAAACTTGATGAACATGGCATTGTAACTAGAAATAAAGCACGTTTGGTTGCCCAAGGATACAATCAAGAGGAGGGCATAGACTATGATGAAACCTTTGCACCGGTTGCAAGGTTGGAATCTATTAGGATGTTTTTGGCATTTGCTAGTTTTAAAAATTTCAAACTATTTCAAATGGATGTCAAAAGTGCTTTCTTAAATGGTTTTATAGAAGAGGAAGTGTATGTTGAGCAACCCCCCGGTTTTATAGATCATGCTTTTCCTAATCATGTTTACCGGGTACAAAAAGCTTTATATGGGTTGAAACAAGCTCCTAGGGCTTGGTATGCTCGCCTCTCTAGTTTTCTTATTGAAAATGGTTTTTCAAAAGGAACAATTGATAACACACTTTTTGTGAGAAAAAGGAAAAATGATTTCATTTTGGTTCAAATATATGTGGATGACATTATTTTTGGTGCTACTAATGAATCCTTGTGCAAGGAATTTTCTAAAGTTATGCAGGATCACTTTGAGATGAGTATGATGGGAGAGCTTACATTCTTTCTCGGGCTCCAAGTCAAGCAAACTAAGGATGGGATCTTCATTTCACAAAGCAAGTATGCGAAGGAATTGGTGAAGAAATTCAAGTTGGAGAATTCTAAGCATGCGCCTACTCCCATGAGTACTAGTGTTAAGCTTGATGCGGATGAGAGTGGTGAAGATGTGGACCAAAAACTATACCGAGGTATGATAGGTAGTCTTCTTTATCTCACCGCTAGTAGACCCGACATCATGTTTAGTGTATGTGCATGTGCACGTTTTCAAGCGTCTCCAAAAGCATCTCATTTAATTGCGGTTAAAAGGATCATTAAGTATGTTAATGGAACTTTTAACCTTGGTTTGTTTTATCCAAAAAGCACCACTTTTGATTTATATGGTTTTTGTGATGCCGACTTTGCCGGATGTAAGGTAGATCGCAAGAGTACTAGTGGAACATGCCAATTCTTAGGAAATTCCCTTGTTTCTTGGGCTTCCAAGAAACAAAATTGTGTTGCATTGTCCACTACGGAAGCGGAATACATTGCCGCCGGCTTATGTTGTGCTCAAGTTTTATGGATGAAACAAAGTTTAGTTGACTATGATTTGAATTTTCAAAATATTAAAATCTTTTGTGATAACACAAGTGCCATAAATATTTCCAAAAATTCGGTTTTGCATTCTAGAACTAAGCATATTGACGTGCGCCATCATTTCTTACGCGATCATGTAGAGAGACAAGATGTATCCCTAGTATTTGTTGACACCAAATCTCAACTAGCGGATATATTTACTAAGCCTCTTGGAGAGGATGATTTTTGTCGCATAAGAAATGGTTTGGGCTTATGCACTATGTGAAAGTTCTACATTGCTTGCTTGATTAGTTGCATTTTGCATTTGGCATTTCTCTTTACCCCATTTTTGATGGTGACAAAGGGGGAGAGAAATCTCCTCATTTGTTGCATATATTTAGGGGGAGCTCATAGATAGGGGGAGCACCTATCTATAAGCTATTTCATTTTTGCTCTTATATAATGGTTGGTTGTCATCATCAAAAAGGGGGAGATTGTTAGCCCTTATGTTTTGATGATGTTCTTACAACCACCATTATCGGTACTAATGGCTTATTGAGTGTAAATGTAGTAAAATCATTTGTCAAGCTCGTTAGTGCCATTAATGGAGGATGGATGGAATATATGCTACAACGAAGATATCCAAAGGAGGAGGAGGCCAAGAGATGAAGCAACGTTATTTCAAGAACGTCAAATTCGATTAAAAGCTTCATCCGATTCAAGCTATATCAAAGCTCAAGTATATTGCTCTCTATATGAGGATATTAGCTTTCTTTTGTTTTTCTCTCTAGTGCTAGAATGTAGGCAAAGAGTTACTGAGTTTACTTGAAGCTATTGGGAATCACACACACGTTTTTAAACTTGTGCTTTTAAGCGTTTTTCACAAAATACTATTTTTCACAAGTTTGAGTACCTATCTGCAAAATTCTTTTTCCAAGCAGTTTGTTTTTAGTATTAAAAACATTTTACAAAGTTTCAGAATTTTCAGAGGTCAAATGAATATTTTGGAAATATTTCAACTTGGTCAAATAACCTGATTTCAGAATATGTCAGAAATCGGTCGACCGGTCCGGTCGACCGATCCGATGACCTTTCTTCACTATGTCTCCAGAGTGTTGTCGGTCGATCGATACGGTCGACCGAATTTCTCAACCCTTAATCGGTCGACCGTGCCGGTCGACCGATGAGTCTCTGGATGTTTTGTCAAAACTCCTTAGCTGCTGGCGGTCGACCGATTTTTTCGGTCGGTCGACCGAAGGTATTTTTCGGTCGACCGATATTTTCTTCGGTCAACCGATTTTTGCCTCTGTTCAGCCGCGACTTTTTTAAAACGGTCGTTTGCCTCGAACCCTGTGCTTTCACTTGTTAGTGATTGGCACAGTCTGTGATGAGGGTCTGAAGAAGAGATTATTATCTCATTTGGGTAGATTTGTTTTTGTTTTAAAATGATTTAAACTTTCCTATAAAATCCCCAGACCTCTTCTTCTTCCTCTAAGCCCTAACGTTTGAAAACCAGAGAGCTTTTTCTGTTTCCTGAGAAAATTTTCAAAACTCTGTTTTTCTTTCTGTTTCAAGTGTGTTTCACTTCCCAGCTTCAGTACTCTTCTCTTTGCTATAGGGGCTTGTGTAAAGAGAGGTTCTTGCTTGTTTTTTCTTCTGCTGCTGTGTGGTTGAGATCTGTGGAGATCTACTGTGAGGGAGTGTGATCTGTGAGATCAAACTGTGTAGTGAGAGAGAGATCTTGTGGGATCGCTGTGTAGACGAAGTTCCGGCTTCCAAACCGGATGTGTTAGTGGATTTCTCCTCGAGAGTGGGGAGCGGGGACGTAGGTCAGCGGGCCGAACCTCGTTAACACATCGCGCGTCAAGGATAACGATTCCTAACTCTATCTCTTTCTATTTGATTGCACTTCTGTTTTGTGGTTTGCTTGTGCTGAGTTTTAAATTGCATATTAGAGCCTCTTGACCCTAATCACCCCCCCTCTAGGGTCCAACAATTGGTATCAGAGCTTGGTCTCTATATCAGTTTTTGGTTTAACAACCTTAGAGAAAAGATCTAATGGAGGCCTCTTTGAATATGCATATGCTAGAAGGACAATCCACAACTAGACCACCTCTCTTCACCGGCACTAATTTTGCTTATTGGAAGGCTAGGATGAGAATTTACCTTCGTTGCATAGACCTTGACATTCTAGAGCTCATAGAAGAGAAATATGAAGAAAAGTCCAAAGTCGGGAACATGACCGATGGAGAAAGGCACCTAGCTAATCTCAACGCTAAGGCTATGAACGCCTTAATTTGTGGTCTTTCCCCTAATGAATATAATAGAGTTTCCACGTGTGCAACCGCATACGAAATTTGGGTAAAATTATGTGTCACACATGAAGGAACCCCCCAAGTTAAGGAATCTAAGATTAGTGGACTTATGCATGATTATGAGCTATTTAAAATGCTTCCAAATGAATCCATTGATGCTATGTTTTCTCGTTTTACTAATATCATCAATGAATTACATGGTCTAGATAAGCAATTATCCATTCAAGAGATGAATTACAAGATACTTCGCTCCTTGACTCCGACATGGGAACCCAAGGCTACGGCCATTGAGGAAGCTCATGACCTCACTACCTTAGCTCTTGATAGCCTCATCGGAAAGCTCAAAGTGCATGAGAAGAAGCTCAAGGGGAAGGAAAAGGAGGAAGTGTCATCACGCGAAGTTGAGGAGCCGTCACCAAAATT